GAAGGGAAGGAAGGGAAGGAAGGGAAGGAAGGGAAGGAAGGGAAGGAAGGGAAGGAAGGGAAGGAAGGGAAGGAAGGGAAGGAAGGGAAGGAAGGAAGGAAGGAAGGAAGGAAGGAAGGAAGGTCGGTCCAAGGCCACAGCCCACAGGCGGTACTCCAAAGCTGGCTGAACCAGCACTGGGGGTCCTTCAGGAAGAAGTGAACTTCTGTGAGCAGGCACACCAAGCACACCGGCAGGGAGGACAGGGCCCAGAGCCCACTAGGCTCGAAGCCTCCTTGCTGAGCCAGGCTAGGACCGTCCTCCAGGACCCCACTTTGGCACGCCTAGGTTCTCTCAGGTTCCTGGTGGGTCTTCCTTCCAGAGCCTGAGCGATCCACTTGCTTTAGGGCTGCATCTGCTTGAGCGAAAGCTCTGGCAACTACCATGGGGTGTGGATGCAGAGGCACTCGGCCAGAATCCCTGCACAGGGGTGGCTGAATATGGATGCTCTGACCTACTACTGGTTTCTGGTTTTGCTTTTTATTTGTTTATTTTCATGTGGTGCTGAGGATCAAACCCAATGCCTCATATGTGSTAGGCAAGTGCTCTGCCACTGAGCTAYAGCCCCAGCCCCCTGGTTTTGCTTTTTTGAGAGTATATCGCCCAGGCTGGCCTCTAACTCCTAAACTCAAGTAATCCTCTGGCCTCAGCCTCCTGTTGGAATTATTGGTATGGGCCACTGCCCCTGGCTTTAACATATTATTTGTAATAAAGATTCAAAAAACAAAAAATGATGTGGAGTATGAAGTAACTCACTGTTGGAGAAAGCCTAGGCCCTCCACCCAGAGGGAGTGCTGGTGCTGCTGAGACAGAACTCTCCAGGCAGGGCTCCTTCCTGGGTTCAGCAGGAAACACATCACCCACAACACGCCCCCCAGCTGACACCATGAGGCACTTACTGATCTCCTCCATCACCACCGTGTTGTCCATCGCGATGTGAACAGCTAAGGAGCTCCAGGTGTCAAACACAGCCAGCTTCCTAGGAGAGCAGGACAGCATGCCGGTGAGTTCCCCTACACAGACCACTTCCACAACACCCACGCCCACCTCTGCCAGAGCTGCTCTCAGTCCAGGGCACACCCACATCACGGGCAGGAAGAAGCTGAGCTAGCCCATCCCTCCTCACAGGCAACCCAGCTGCCCTCTGAGAAGGCACACACAAGAACCCCTGGGCTGCACAAAGGTGGCGTGGACATGAGCCCAGCTTTCAGACTGGAGCTTTAACTGTTGTGCAGGCAGCCCTGCCCCTGGCCACCAGCCTCCAGCCTGCTGGGCTGCACAGCTGCGACTGTGGTGGGGGAGCTATGGCTGCAGCTGGTGGTTCTAAGGGAGGAACAGATGGCAGTCAGGATCTGCCTTGATGGTGGTGCTTCGGGGAGGGGCAGAGAATGACTAGGGCTGGGGATGTGGCCTGGCATGCGTGCAGCGCTGGGTTCCATCCTCAGCACCACATACAAATAAAACAAAGATGTAGTGTCCGCAAACAAAACAAAACAAAACAAAACAAAACAAAAAAACAGCGAATGACTAGAAAGAAGGGACATTCCAGGCACAGGGACATCTGTCGAGGCCCTGAGCTATGAGGACAAAATACCAGCCAGTGTCTGGGATCCCTGGGGTAGCCATGTAGAGCCCCTCTGATGTAGAGCCTGGAGGGCCAGGGGAGAGCAGCCCACTCCACGGGCTCCAGGCCACCTTGGTGCTCCAAGTCCACCACAGGTGAGACTGAGCAGCACTTCCCAGCGCTGACCCGGAGGGAACATGGACGAGAAGCAGCTAGTGGGCAAGTGGAAGAATCAGGGAGCCCTATTACAGGGGGAGATGCTGCCAGGGCCCCTGCAGGAAGGCAGAGATGGGGAGCAGCCCAGGGCTCCGAACCAGGGCCCAAGCAAAAGCCCAGGAGTGCACCTGTATGGGGCCCAGGTTACTGTGCCAGGGCACATGAGAGGGCTAACAGGGCAGCGAGGCCAGCTGGAGTGGTATGGGGCACACCACCAGTCAGCAGGGAGGCCCAGAGCAGCAGTCTATCAGGATGGCACAAGGAGGCAGAACCAAGACACAGACCAGGGTGGGGAGAGGAGGCCAGAGTCAGGGAGCCTCAGGAGGGCTGTGGGAAGGGGTCTGCAGGGAGTCGAGTTGAGCCTGTGTGCTTGAAGAACAGCTCTGCCAGTCCTGCACCAGCAGCCTCGGGCCAGAACCCAGGCCTGCAGCCCTCACAGGCCAGGGAAGAGGAGCCAACACAGAGAGGAGGACAGAGGACAGGAGGAGCAGAGCAGCCTGGCCTGGCATTTCCAGAAAGGGTACAAGCACCTGAACCCAAGGCTACTTGCCACTGGGCAAGTCGGGGACCAAGTGTGGCTCTGGATGTGAGGAAGCACTCTTGGACCTTCTCAGGGCTGCCAGAGCAGCAGCAGGAGAAGGGCATCCGTGAAAGGGGGGGGGGGGGCCTGCAGACCACACGAGGTGTCCCGGGTGTGCAGGGGATGCCAGACAGGCTCAGCCAAGGAGGCAGGGAGAGGGTACAGGCCTGGGACGGCTGGTAGCCAGCTGGGGCACACAAGGACGCGTCCAGGAGGAGCCCAAGGAACCTGACAAAAGGGGCTGGTGGAGACAGACAGCCTTCCTGAGGAGGAGAGCAGAAGGCTGGCAGGGACGAGTCATTTTAGAAACGCAGGGTATCCGATGCCAAGCTGGCCTCGAGGGGACATAAAGCAAGAAACCCTCAAGCAAGACCCTGCAAACAAGCAGGTCTTTGAGGGACAGTCACAGCTGAAGCAGGACTTGGGAGATGATGGCCCTCAGTGCAGCAGGAAAGAGGCCCCAGAGATGCCAGGACACCAGTGCACAGAGCCAGAAGGAAGGGTGAGGCAGGCCAAGCAGAAACGACAGGTCCAGGACTGAGAAGTGGAGTCTTCCTGGCAGCCGCAGGGAGAGCTGGAGGCACTGATAGTGCTGGGGGCTACCCCAGGAAGGTGGGCACAGGCTCTGCTCTAGTCACCGGACACCTCCGGCATGGAGGGCACAGGAGGGGACTCAGGGAGTGGAGTCCAGCAGACCCTGGACAAGGTGGGAAGAGGACCATAGCCTGTGAGGTAGAAGACCTCAGCACCCGTACAGAGGGTCACCAGAACTTCAGTGTTTCCAGACCAAGGGGAATCCTGCCATGCGCAGATCCATGAGCCAAGAACAAGGGCCCGGGGCCACAGACATGACGTGGGGTAGGATTGAGTTGTTTTCTTTCCCCAGAAAACAAATCCCACTTGGCACAGTCACGTTCAAGGACCCCCAGAGGCCTACAAGCAAAGGATCAGGAAGGACCCTTATCTCCTGAGGCAACAAGAACAAGGAAGGCCTAAGTGTCAAGGAAAACTCACGCTGCCCCAAAGAAGCATAAGGCTGAGTCTCAGTACGCACTTGAGGACCTGGGCCACCGTGTTCGGTCCGTACCACTGGCCTATTGACTTGCCTTCGCCGACTCCCATTTGCGCTGCAGGGAACAGACTGGATCAGTGACACGCAGCCTCCCCTGGCACCCAAAACTCCTGCCCACCTCTGTTGACATGTGGAGGCAGGAAGGCCTACACAGGACACTATCCAGATGGAGGGTGCTCAGGTGAGAGGCAAGAACATGTGCTAAAAAGGGAGGTGGGACAGGGACAGAGGACATCACAAGTGCTGTCCTTCACTTGGCCCATGGACTCAAGGAGGGGCTGGAGGATATGGAGCAACTCCAGGTTCTGGGGGCCGGGTCCACCCTTCTCCTCCTCCTGCAGGTAGGACTCAGAGCTCCAACTGGGCCTGCTTCAGCCAAAACCATGCAGCCCTTCACTCACTCCTGCCTGAGCACTCGGCCTCAGTGGCAGCAGAGGAGAGCCAACCTTCAGGATGCATCTGGGTCCCAGAGACTGCTCTGAGCAGCAGCACAGCAGGCCACACCCAGGGTGACCCCACAGCTCCCGGGGAAGGCCCAGCGCCACTGCCCTCAGCAGAGCCAGACTGGCATGTGTGCAAGGTCCCCACCTATCTGGTGAATGGAGTAGTAGCTGTCTTTCCTGTCCAGGAAGGCATTGAGGACACTGAAGTAGCTGTCGGGCTGCCTCTTCCGCTGCACCCACCTCCAATCTAGTGGAAACAAACACCCAAGATCAGTTCAAGCACAAATGTGAGAAAAAGTCCTTTCACACACCATGCAAGATTCAGTCTTCAGGCTCTTGGTGGTGGTGGTGTTAGGGATGGAACCCAGGGCCTCATCATGCTAGGCAAGTATTCTACTACCAAGCTTCAACCTCAGCCCTTTTAATTTACTTTTTATTTTGAGACAGAGTCTCACTAAGTTGCTGAGGCTAGCTTCAAACTTGCAATACTGCTGCCTCAGCCTCCCAGGTCACTGGGATTATAGGCATGCTCTGAAATTTTGAGCCTTTCCAAAGTTAAAAGCCAAACTCTCCAGAATTTCAAATCTTTTCACCAACACATCAAAACAAACCCAAAGAGAAAACAGAAAACGGTTTAACAGTAATTTCTAATAAATTAACACTTACCAGCATTTTTTAAACTGCAAACTGTGTTTTGAACTGTGAAGACCAGTGGGTCACCAATGAGGGAAACCTCATGCTCGCTCTAGCCTATGGTTTGGTATGATGTCCCTGAAACACCCTTTGCCACAGTCCCCTCCCCTGGTGCCGAGACTCACCTCGGCCTAGGTGCCGGCACACTAAGGCCTGAGCAAAGATCATCTGTCCACAGCGCAGCATRCAGCCCCAGCCTGTGTCCGAGGTGGGGCCAGTTCCCCCTGTCATGAGAGAGAAGCACTCAAGACCAGAGGCTCCAGCAGAGGTTGGAGCCAGGGGCAGGAGCTGCTGACCCCTCACACACCAGCTGTCCTGGGCAACAGGCACCTCTGAGCACTCAGGAGGATGCACTTGCTGGGGAGCAGGACGTCCTGGCACATGAGCCCTTGAGAGGAGTGAAGTGTGAGCAAGCCTGGTCAGCAGGCCACAGGAATGCTCAGGCCCCAGAAGGCAGAGCTGAACGAGGAAGGCCACCTTCCACCTGCTAGAAAGCAGAGGGCCACAGCCTCCACAACACTGGTACTGCTAAGCACAGCGCGGCTARCACAGCAGTGGCCAACCACCACTCCCTCTCCAGCACACCGGGTCCATTCGGGACAGTGTGTAAGGTAACAGACGTGGGAAACGTCCTGCCAGCCTGCAGCAGGACTCTGATGGAATGCCACCCTACTGTCCTACGAGGAGGAGGGGCTGCTGATGCTGGCTGGAGGCAGGGGTGGCTCCACACTGCAGCAGGGAGCAGACACAGGGCCTGCGCCTGCCCTCAACCCCAACACAGGCAGCCGTCTCTGTAGGGCCACACCTGGCACTCGGGACCTCCAGGCTGCTTCGCCCACGGTGACTCATTCAAGCCTCTTCTCACCAATGTGGCCAGCGAGGAAGGCAGCTCTCCAGCTCTGGCCTCCTCCCTAGCACCCTGCCATCATGGACAAGGCCATGCTTAGAGCAGGCCTGGAGTGTGGAAAGCCATTCTTGCACGTKATTTGAGTTACCTCCCTGGCTGGGTGAGAGGTGCTTAGACACAACTGTGTCAGAGCCTTCCCCACCCTGTCCCAGGTGCGAGGGCTTGTCCGTGTGGAGGTGTGCCTGACCACTGACCCGAAGACCAATCACTGACCCTGACCTTGGAGTGCTGCCCCCCTCGACCTTCATTGGATGGAATTTTCCTTTGAATTTTTTGTTCCCCGATAAAAGCTCATTCTCTGGTGTATTTTCTCTCTCTCTCTCTCTCTCTCTCTTTCTCGCTGGCCTCATGTTAACCTCGCCACTGCATTAGGTGGCTGGAGGCAGGAGTTAGGAGGAGCCATCTCTGGAGCTGGACAATAAAGGTAACGAGAGGGCTGGGAATGTGGCTCAGACGGTAGCGCGCTCGCCTGGCATGCGTGCGGCCCGGGTTCGATTCTCAGCACCACATACCAACAAAGATGTTGTGTCCGCCGAGAACTAAAAAATAAATAAATATTTAAAAAAATTCTCTCTTTCTCTCTCTCCCTCTCTCACTCTCTCTTTAAAAAAAAAAATAAATAAAGGTAACGAGAATTATGTCTCTTTAATTTTAAAACTCACTAGTTAATTTTTATGCTTCGAACCTCTATTATGAAGCTCACGTGCTGGTCGCGTGGCTGACTGGAGGTGTCGACTGAGCGACTGTGTTAGGAGCAACAACGTCCAGACCATCCTAACAGTCTCACCACGAGGAACCTGCCTGAGGGAGCTGCACCTCACCCCTGCACTATGCTGTCCCAGAATGCCAGGCCACCGGGTCTACTTTACCTCCACCCTCACTATTTTTGGTACCAGGGATCTTACTTAGCGGCACCTAACCACTGAGCCATATTCCCAGCCCTTTTTATATTTTGAAACTGGTCTTGCTAAGTTGCCTAAGGCCTCACTAAGTTGCTGAAGCTGGCCTTGAACTTGCAATTCTCCTGTCTCAGCCTCCCAAGCTGCTGCGATTACTGGTATGTATCATCACACTTAGTTCTACCACACTTTTGAGAAGGGTGAAAGACCACTGGGGAGGAGCCCACTGGTGACCTGCCTCTGGGGGACGTGGTATTGATCTGGGGCCTAACATCCAGCCTTGGGTCCTTTGACCATAAAAGGCAGGTGGAGGGCTGGCCCCAGCCTTCTCCACCTGCAGGGCACATGGCAACAGAGCATTAATGAATGGCATGTACTTCAGTGCTCACAGGAAAACGGGCCACAACCCCTTCCCTCTGACCCCCACAGCTAAGTGTCTTCCAAACATGCTGGAACCACACAAGAACATGCACTCAAGTGTAGACTCAGCCCATGCCCTAGGCCACCTGCCTTCTTCCTGGCCCAGCTGTTCCACATGGCCTGTCCTTCAAGTTTACACCCTATCACAACTCCTGATGCCAAACTCCAGCTCCAGCCACGAGGGGGCAGTGCTTCACTCGCAGGCAGAGAAGCACTGCCCCCAGGAATCCAGAGCCCAGCCCTGAGTCCAGCTTCCTGACAGGGGGCCGGACATAAATCATGGGTCAACTGGCTTGCCACGGGGATTGAAAGAGACATCTGGCACTCTGAAGCCACCCTGCGGCGGGGGAGCTACGAGCTCCCGGAGACAGGGGTGGCTCCACACTGCTGTGGGGAGCAGATACAGGGTCTGTGCCTGCCCTCAACCCCAACACAGGCAGCCGTCTCTGTAGGGCCACACTTGGCACGTGTGCTCTGCCACAGACTGCAGACAGTGGGGTACTCACCAATGGCTGGGAAGTTTCTCCTGTAGGTAAACCAAAGTCTGGACGCCACATCGGACAAAATCTCGTCCTTTTCTGGATTGTTTAAAAGAGGAAGACACACAAAGCCTTAAGTTTATAAGTCAAAAATCACAGAGGAGTCAGCGATTGCTATCACCAGATGTTTCTGCAGGCAGCAGAGGGACAATGACATGGCAATACCTGTGAAGATGCTGTATTTTCTGCCCAGGATCCAAACAGGCTCTGAGGTCTCAGGGAAATCCTCAAACTCAGCAAACCGAAGAGTGTCATAGGTCAGAGTGGCTGTAGGAACCAGACACATCCATCTGACTCTCATAATCTCAMAGATGCCAAAGAGTCCATCCACAGCACCTCTGCACCATCAAAGAGCAYCAGCAGCCTCTAGAGGCAGGTGGCATGCCCTGCCTCTTGGCACCAGCACCACCCTCGCAAAGCTGATGCCTAAATACACAGGGCAGGGGGCCACACAGCTGCCTGCTGAGGACTGGGGATGGAGGTGGTCACCCTTTCAGATGCTTAGCTACCGTGTGAGTGTCTGGCAGCTGATATGATGAGGACAAAGTTAGGGCCAGTGTTTAAGGGAACAAAGCTGGGGATAGCCACCTGACCTCAGCATTCGACTGTTTCAGACTTACAGTATTTAAAGCTAAAATAAAATAAAATGAAGCCATGCACTTTGTCTCCATGGACCAAGAAGGTCACAGATGTCCACGGCCATCCTAAGGTCACCAACTGTCACCCTGGCAGCATGTTCAAAACGTGAAGCACTGTGGCATCCTAAGGCTTAGCAGATGTCACCCTGGCAGCATACTCAGACATGCTGTGATGATGGCAGGGTCAGAACCCTCAGAAGCCTGGGGATCCTGGTCCACCTGATTTCTGCTAGTTAGAAGCACCTAACTATAGAGGGAGAGGGTGGTACTCCTGGGTTGGAAACGGAAAGATGGATTTCTCTGCAAAGTCCCCAAAGGAAGGCAGGTGCCCTGAGGCCTCCATCAAGGCCTGGGAGGGAAGCTCACTTCAAGGCTGCTACCAAAGGGCTCTATGGCAGCAGAGCCTGCTGGCTAAGGAGGTGCTGCCCACAGAGCTCCGTGTCTGTTTTGCTTTAGTGAAGAAACCAGAAAGGCTCAGGTTCCTCCTGTCCACAGAACCCTGAGGATGGCTGAGGAAGCCCCTGCTCCACCAGCCAGCAAAGGGCACGCAGCCAAAGCCACAAGGCCAGCTGCACAGGGCATGTTTCAGGGACGTTAAAGGCCTCTCCAGCTGCCCCTCAGAAAACTCTGAGCACACAGGCTCACCTGCTGCCTCTTGAACATCAATGGTGACAACCACTCACGAGCTTCCCCTGCAACTTCACGAAGACCTTCTGAAGACCTGACTCCACTCATTGCTCCCATGTTGGAGTTTTTTCTATTGCTGGTGATGGGGTTGAACCCAGGGGCACTYATCCACTGAGCCACATCCCCAGCCCTTTTATTTTTTATTTTGAGACAGGATCTTGCTAAATTGCTAAGGCTTTGAATTCACATCCTCCTGCGTTAGCCTCCCAAGTTGCTGGGATTACAGGTGTATGCCACCAAGCCTAGCTGGAATTTATTTTTTGAATGATTTTTGAAAATGCTGAATAGTGCAAAAATAAAAATAAATAAATAAACAAACAAACATCTGAGGTATCACCACCTGGAGCACACCCGGTGGGAAGCAAGCCGTGCCTGGGGGCCTTGCTTGTGTCCCTCACTCTGCATGAGCACAGCTCTCCCTGGCCTCCCAGCAGTGACACTGTAGCTAGTTCAGAGCACCGCCGTGGGCTACAGCATGGCCATCCCTGTACGMTGCTTCTATACTGCTTCCTCTGCAAAGGTGTGGAGCAGGGTGGCACTGATCCCTGGAACCAAGGTTTAAATTCCAGCTCAGCACTCAGAGGCCATAGGCTCCTGGGCCATTTATTTAACTTTTAAGCATGGACAATCTCTCATCCATAAAGTGGTGTAATAACAGCCTTGCCCTGTGGCTGTGATGTCTCCATGGAAGACTCCTCCAGAGATGCAGGCTGGCAGACAGAAGGGCACCGGCGCCAGCAATGTCATCAACATCAACAGCGGGGGTGAAGGCAGACACACCTTACCATGCCCAAAGGCTTACCTGGACGCAGCTCATCTGCAGGCTCAGCCAGCAGCAGGGGCAGAACCCACAAACCCAGGACAGGCGCTGTGTTCCTGCCCAGCTCCTCCCTCTTTTGAGCACTGCTGAGACTTCCCCATAATGATAGCAGCTTTGTCTGGCTCTGCATTCAGAGACAATGTCAACCATGCAGCTGGGCTACCATGAATGAAGTCCAGGTTTATGTCTCCCACTGTTTACATAAGACTGATTTTGCACAATCTCTGGATGTTCTTTTAGTTTCCTGAAAAGATAGGCACAGACTTTAATTCATCCCAGCTGAATTTTTAAAGTCGATGCCTATATTCAAGAAGGCCAAGGGTCACCCCTGCTCTCCAGACTATCTGTGTCTTYATGACTTCAGTGCTTCCCTCTAGGCGCTATCCAGTGCACAAACCCAAATCCAAAAAGCTTACTCTCAAGTGAAAGGATGCAAACAACCTTGGGGAATTCCAACTGACAACACCAGAGGAGAGAAATGCCAACCTTGCTGGAACATTCTACTGATGCCTGAGATCCTGCCAAGGCACAGGCAGGATCTTTAATAAAGCCATGTTATCTGCTAAGGCTTTGGAGCACCAAGGAGCAAGCTGGGCAGGCATCTCCATACCCTAGTTCATAGGACGTGGCATCTGCTCTCAGGTAAAGGACACTATCACCAAGTTAACCAAGGCCTCAATAGGAAACTGAGAAACTTCTATGACATCCAGCTTCCCACGCTAAAAATACAAACAATAAAGGGAGCAGACAGGCAGATGAGGAAGCAGAGGACAAATTCTCACTCTGAAAGTGGGCACCAGGCCAGGACAGCTTTGAAGTCGACACCTTCATCTCCAAAGCAGCAAAATGCAGAGCCACCACATTCCCGGGTGGCTCGGTAGTTTTACAGGCAAGAAGCCAACTTCAGAGTGAAGGTCACAAGCACGGTCACCCTCACCAAAGCTGCTACCATAACTGTGAAGATTATGGGCTGTGTGGCCTCATGAATCAAGAGTCAGCTTGAGGAAGCAGAAACCATAGGGAGCAGTCCGGTGCAATGGCCACACCTGTGACCCCAGCAACTCTGGAGGATGAGGCAGGAGGAATCCAAGTTCAAGGTCAGTCCAGACAACTTAGCCAGGCCCTGGCTCAAAACATTTTATAAAGGGATGGGAGTGAGATTGGTGGTAGAGTCAAACACCACCCGCAAAGGGAACACAAGTATCAAGAGATGCCCAGAGCTCTCCTCCGCTTCATGGAGCACAGAGCACAGCACCCACCATCCACAGGGTCCCTGCCCCAGCCCCACACTCCACACCCCTCCTGACTAGACAACCAGGCAGCCTCCTCTGCATCCTGCCCTGCCTCGTCTGACAATCTCAGCTGCCTTGGGACTAGTTGTGGGTGCTGTATCCTCCTCAGGGCCAGGCTCGCTACCCTCTGTGTCCGACAACAACAAGGGCAGAACTGCAGGGCCACCAGGCCTTGAACACATTCCCATAAGTGTGGCATGGTGGTCAAGGCCGAGCTACTGGACAGGGTTTGAGGACACTGGTAACCAGGTCAGGACATGGTGTGGACTCACATTCTGGGCCCAAGCTGCAGTAAGACATAGCGAGGCAGGAACCAAACGTGTAAGCCTCTTAACCAAATAGAGTCTGACACTACAAACTTGTTTCAAACAGAGGCAACTGTATCTCAAGAGCAGAAGACAGCCATCCCATACGCTGGGAGTCCACGCCTGAGCTTCTGCCCTGGACAGGGAGCTGCAGCATTCCTGCCAGAAGAGCACCTGGAGGGGACAGGAGGAAATGCACAAGCCAGGTCCTACATTTGAGGTGCCTGAACAAGGCACCACCAGGAACCCCTGGCTGAGGCCGTGGCAGGCAGAGCCCCCAGCCTCAGGATCTTGCTCTGAATGAGAAAGGAGAGATTCTTCAAATAAACTTTTGTTTTCTACTGAGGTTTGTTTCTGGAGACAGAGAGCCCACTTGCCAGGTGCATGGCACACACCTGAACTGTCTCTAAGACTCACACTCCTCACCATGGAGTGGGGCAGCAGCACTAGCTCTGCCCAGGTATACGTGAGAATCCAGGATGAAAGCAACCACAACTCACAGTCCTGACTGACAGACKGACCAGCAAGCAGGGCTACTCCACACTCTGGGATCACAGGGCCCAAAGGCAGCAGCCTCTCCATTGTCCACAGTGGGTCCTCGCACTGTTCTACAGCCCTTACTATAATGGCACCATCTTCACACACCACCTCATGCCGCTTATGAAGCAGGCACAAAGCTCCTGAGCTGAGAAGGCAGCCCTCAAAGAGAAAGCCAGGCTCCAGACTGCCAGACCATGGTGCCAACTCAAACGCACAGCACAGGGAGGAGAGGACAGCAAAGCACCTCACCCAGGAGGAAAGCTCCCCAAAGGAGTCCCACACGGCCACTGCACCCCAGAGGCACGACTTCCCACACCTTCTTCTTCTTTTTTTTTTTCTGTGGTGCTGGGGATTGAACCCAGGGCCTTGTGCATGTGAGGGAAGCTCTACCAATTGAGTTGTGTCCCCAGCCCCCACAACCTCCTCTTGGGACTTCTGTGATCACAGCCCAGAAGAAAGCAGAAAGTGTTTTAATGATATGGTGATTACATTTAAAAAAGCAAGTGATTTAATGCTATTAATCTCACAGGCAGAAATATAGGGAAATACGCTCAATGAATTTGACCTCTCTTAGTACCAACTACACTGTCATGCAGAGAACCACAAAAAATATACATATAACCAACGTTTCTTTTAGAGTTTACTGTAATATGCCTCATTTTGAAGATATTTACTAAAAGATTATACTGTATAAATAAATCTAGACGGGATCCCCCCCTTTTAGAAAACTCATGTTTGAGACAACAGTTTGACTGTAAAAGAAGTGACGACAACTGAGTCAGTGGGGGCTTTAGCTATGTGGGAAGACACTGCTTTAGTGAATACGCAGGACAGAATGCCACATCGAACCCGCTGCCCWGCAGTCAGAGTCTTATGCTAACAGCACAGACTTAACACGCCACACAGACCCAGCACACACCCCCACACAGGTCGCACACCCCTCTGCTTTTCAGATTCTCTAACACCTGCATGTACAGATGCAGACACTGGAGCTGGGACCACTTTTGTTTCACACACACCTACACAGCCTCAAGGCAAAGTGACACACCACGTCCAATGGACTGCACCTAGACGACAGCCTGGCACACAAGGCAGGTGGGGGCTCTTCCATCTGTGGTGTCATGCCAGTGCTCAAATGTTTCTGGTTTTGAGGAGTTTGGGTACATTTCCATTTCTAGACCAAGGACACTCAACCTGTAGTAGAAAGTATGTAAACTATTAATTCAAGTTCTGCTTCATCAAGTACCAAACATGGACCAGACACAATGTGAGGCGCAGGAGACACAGGCACAGGACACTGGTTCTGTCACCAAGGAACAGAAATAAAGTTACCTAGGTCCTGGCTCCTGACAGCTCTTTGAACCAGGAGCATGTTCTTATAACAAGTGCTTGCCAGCTAGGAGAAAGCAGAAAGTGTCCCCCCCCCCCCCCCCCCACCCAGCAGCAGCCCTGGGCTGCCCCCCTGGCCTCCTCTCTTGTCTACCTCCTCGGCCTCTGGGCCACCTCATCTGATGTGGCTTCATACACACCTTTGTCACAGGCTTTTTATTCCCTCAGCGCCCAGATGGTAAAACAAAGGCTCCCTGGACACTGCTCCACATTCAGCACACACAAAGCCAAAGTTTTGACAGCTCCCCATGAAGCAGGGCCTCCCCACGTTTCTCAGCTCAGGCAGTGACCTCTGGTGCCATCTCTCTCTCCTCCCTACCTACCCTTCTCCCAACCTGTGATCTGTAAACAAATGCTACTGTCCCGATTTTCAAAACATGTCTAGAATTCAACCTCTTCTCCTCACCCCGGCCTAAGTCTTAGCCCCTCTTCTGTGCCTGCTTATCAGAACGGTTGTCAACATCCCTCTGAGACATATTCTCAACGGAGGGCCACAACACTTCTGTAAACCCAAGTCCAGTCATGCTACTTCTCCTCTTGATCCTTAAAGGGTTTCATCCTATTCAGAATAAATGCCCAAGTTCTCACTGTGACCAGCAGGGCCCCACGGCTGGGCCTAACATCCTTCCCACTCTCTGCTCCAACCTCTCTCACACCAGGCACCTGGCAACTCCAGCTTCCTTGCTGCTCTCAGATCAGCCCACTTGCCCTTCCTCCTGCACTGCTCTGGGTCTTGGTTAGAATGCCACCTTTAGAGTGGGACTTTTCCAGGCCTCGCAGGCTGCAATCCAAACCCCCCCCCCACAGTCCGCATTCTCTAGTCTGCAGGAGCCACACCTCTTGCTGCTCCTCCTGGTCCCCCACCAGGATTGTTAGCTGCCCCAGGAGAGTGGTTTTCATCTGTTTTGTCCACTTCTGGAGTCACAGGGTCTGGAACAATGACCAGCACACACCTGGCATTCAACAGTAAATGCAGTTTACAGAAGAAATACCTATAAGAACCATCAGTACCTGCATTACATGTGGCCAGGGAAGGCAGATCTTCAAAGACCAGGGAAAGGTGGGCCATTCCACACTGTGTCAGAAGGAGAACACCATACCCTAATAACATCACACACATTAGGTTCTAGGTTGTTTTGTACTGGGGACTGAACACAGTGCCACTGAGCTATATCCCTAGTTCTTTCTTTTAAAATAGGGTCTTACTAAGTTACTGAGGCAGGCTTCAAACTGGCAATCCTCCTGCCTCAACCTCCTGGGTTACTGGGATCACAGGCACATGCCACCCAGCACAGCTATCTTATTGTACATTTTTATCAGACCCAACAGAGACTTTCAAATGCAAGCAACTTTTCTACTTTGATCCTGAGAGCAGCAGCGTTTGATGTCCTATTAAGATGTCTTTATCATATGACTACAAAACTCTATTACAACAAATTATCAACCTGAACATGATTTTCATATTCAAGGTAACGTGACATTAAACTGTGCTTCCGACCTTAACCACCTCTCTCAATAACCTTAGGTATTCCCACTCCATGTCCCCCAAAAAACAGTTTGACAGTGTCTGACACTCATTCTAAAAACACAAACTTCAGGACATGCACATGTGGCCGACACTCCTCGGGCAGCCGGACGAGTGAGGGCCTCACGGTGCCCTCTGTTCCCGGGCTCAGCCAGCTCCGCCGCGGCCATGAACAGAACAAAGCAGCCGCCACGCTCTCGGGGGACCCGACGGAAGCGCTCCCGGCCGCGCCGAGCAGGGCCCTGGAAGGAAGGCCAGCGGTGGGTTCCCCGGGAAAGGCAGAACCGGCGCTGCCGGGAACGTCAAGAGCGGTCTACAGCGTGCCCGGGCCTCGGGCGAACGACGCCTGGGTACGGACGCGCCTCCGAGCCACCTCGCCCGGAGGCCTCCCTCCCCGAGGCGGCTCGCCGGACCCCGCAGGCAGGACGGGCTGACGTCCCCGTCCCCCGTCCCGCCAGCGAAGAGAGGAGCGCGGCGCCTCGGGGGCCCGCCCGACAACTTCGCGGGAGTTGGGCGCTCGGCGTCCCCACCCGGCGGACCCAGCCGCTCCGCTGCCCTCCGCGGCCTTCAAGCCCGCGAGCCCGGCCAGGAACTCCCGCGGGCTGAGGGCGCGGGACCGGTGAGTACTGTCTCTGCCCGCCGCAGGCCCCGGGCCGGGCCGGGCAGGCGAGCGAGCGAGCACCGCCGCTAGAGGCCCGAGGCTGTACTGCTCACCTGCGTCCATCTTCCCCGGCGGCGGCCGACTGACCGCGGCGTCGCTCCGACGGCCGCAGCGCGACACAGCGACGGGAAGCCGCGGGGGCCAAGTGCGCCACGGAACGCGGGCACCGCCATGTCGGCGTACGGCAGCCGCAGGGGGCGGGACTCGTGGGGCTCAAGCCCTCGGCTGGCTGGCGGTGTTGGGGTGCGGGCGGGCGTGGCCCTGAAGCCGGACGACGGGTCGCGCACGCGTGTTGCCGCACGGCCTCGCCGGCCCGGCGGCGGCCGCCGATTGCGGCGGGCCGGCGAAGCGCGCCGCCATCTTGCCGTACGGCGCGGCCGGCCCACGTCCCGGCCGTGTCGCCGCACTCCCTCGGGGCGGGCCGGGCGGCGGGCGGCGAGGCCGGAGCCTGGCGGCGCCCTGGGCCGAGCCCGCGATGGTGATCTGCTGCGCGGCCGTGAACTGCTCCAACCGGCAGGGCAAGGGCGAAAAGCGCGCCGTCTCCTTCCACAGGTACGCGGCCCGCCGCTCGGCCCGCCACGCCCCCGGCCCGGCCCGGCCCGCGGGGAAACTGAGGCCGCGCGGCGGGCGCGGGAGGACGGGCGGCGGGCGCGGTACCGCATGACCTTGGCCCGGCCGCCGTCCCTGGGCCGGCGCCGCGAGCCGAGGGCCGCCGAGGCCGCGCGGCGTCTACAGCCCGCGTCCCGCTCCGCGCCGCAGGCCCTCGCGGCACCCGGCCGCGGCGCCCGGGACCTGCGCGACCCTCGGGGACTGGCTCGGCGGGTGCAGCCCGGGCGGGGTGGGAGGCGGCGGCGCCAGGCTCGCAGCCGCCGCGGGCCGGGGAGACCGGCGACCCCGGACCCGTCCGCGTCGGAGCACGTGCCCCAGAAGTTGGCGGCGCAGGCCGAGCCGAGCCGGCGAGCGGGCGGCGGGCGGTCGTAACGGCCTGAGGCGCAGCGGGCCGGGCCCACGGGCCTCCGCCGAGAGGGGTTAGGAGGTCACGTGGCCCCGACGTCCGCACCTTCCTGCGGCCCGTCCTGGCCCACAGCAGCCTCAGGTGGGTTGGAGGACCCCAGGTGGACGGAGCCCAGAGAGGTGTCGTGCGGGCGYCTCTGCGCCACGATGAAGTGGTGGTCGAGGGTCTCGGTTAGCAGATGTAGGAGCTCTAATACCGTCCCTTCCGGCATCTCCCAGGACAGCTTGCCTTATTTTTCTTTTTCTGATTTTTAAAAGTTATGGCATGATGCACAAAATGTTTACTATCCTAACCATTTTTAAGTGTTCCTCTAAGTGGCACTAAATACRGTGACACTGTATGCGGTCATCTCCACCATCAAGCTAAAACTGCGTAAAGGCTAACTCCCCATTTCTCCTCCCACCTGCCCGCTCTGGGAATTTGGGTACTCTCAGTACCGCTGTGTGTGTCTTGGTGTCTGCATGGATCTGTAGCATGGATCGTGAGTACAGGCAGTACTTGTCCTGTGACCGGCTCATTTCACTCATTACATCCTTACGCTCACCTGGCTGGTGGAAGTGCACAGAAATATAGCCTTTGAGTCTTGCTCTAGAGCTGGGTCCATGCTGGGGCAGTCACCATGCCAGGCTCACTCTTTGGCCTTGTGCCCCTATATCTGCAGCCAACATTGCCTGGCTTCTCAATAGAGGAATCAGCCTCCCTGATTTAAGTGCCTATAGTCTACCTTCTAGGCACACCAGCAGGGTTGGTCAGTGGTCAGCTTCTAGAGCTACTTCCAGTTGTCCTGGTACTTTATTGCTGGAGCTTCCTGTGTGCCCATAGGGCATCTGTCACAGCCTGTGAGGAGCAATGAATTTTTCCTCTCTGCCCTATAGACTGTGGGCTCCCAAAGAGTAGACTGTTGAGCTTTCCCTATCTTATTCTAGTAGCAACTTGTAAGTACACAGTGTTCCTTAAGTTAACCAGGGGCATTTAACCATAGAGCCACATGCCCAGCCCTTTTTATTTTTTTATTTTGAGACAGGGTCTAAGTTGCTTAGGGCCTTGCTAAGTTGCTGAGGCTGCTTCGAACTCATGATCTCCTGCCTCAGCCTGTCAAGTGTCTGGGATTATAGGTGAGTGCCACCATGCCCAGCTCCTTTAAGTCTGTAGAGGAGTTATTCTTTTTTAGTTGTAGATGGACACAATACTTTTATTTTTTCATGTGCAGCTGAGGATTGAACCCAGTGCCTCACACATGCAAGGCGAGTGCTCTACCACTGAGCCCCAGCCCCAGCCCATGGAGTATTTCTTAAGCAGATGAAGTCAGTGCAGGTTTCCATGTTTGCAAAACACTTGTTTTGATTTTATAATTGGTAATTTGGGGGGGAGACATTTAATTATTTATGAGTACTTTTATCATTTATCCCGCAGGTTCCCCCTAAAGGACTCAAAACGCCTGATCCAGTGGTTAAAAGCTGTTCAGAGGGAAAACTGGACCCCCACTAAGTATTCGTTCCTCTGTAGTGAACATTTCACCAAAGACAGCTTCTCCAAAAGGCTGGAGGACCAGCACCGCCTGCTCAAGCCCACAGCAGTGCCCTCCATCTTCCACCTGACTGAGAAGAAGAGGGGGGCTGCAGGCCATGGCCGGACTCGGAGAAAGGACGCCAGCAAGGCCTCGGGGGCCATGAGGGGCCGTGGGAGCACAGCCGCCGGGAGAGGGGCCGTGAGCACCTCTCCCTCCTCTGGTGGAACCCTGATGGCCCAGCCAGAGCCCCGCAAGCTGAAGCGAGCCACTCTGCAGGGTGAGGCCACACCCAGGACCCCCCCAGATCCCAGCATCCAGGAGCAGGCCCAGCAGTGTCTGGGGAAGACCCCAGGAGATGGACCATCGGCCACCAGGGCAGGCAGCCAGGGAGAAGAAGGAGCATGTGCGGAGGAAGCCAGGGGCCAGAATGCTGGCGCCACCTGGGCCGAGGGTGGCGGGGCAGACCGGAGCGGGGTGTCCGCAGAAGATTTCACTCCCCCAGGGTCTGGGGCCTGCAGGTTCATTGGCTCACTGCATTCCTACAGTTTCTCCTCCAAACACACTCGAGAGAGGCCTTCTGTTCCCCGAGAGCCCATTGACCGAAAGAGGCTGAAGAGAGACGTGGAGCCCAGTTGCAGCGGGAGTAGCCTGGGGCCGGACAAGAGTGTGGCCCAAAGCCCTCCGAGGTCCTCACTCACTGCCACGCCACAGAAGCCTTCCCAGAGCCCCTCTGCCCCGCCCACCGATGTCACCCCGAAGCCAGCTGCGGAGGCCGTGCAGAGCCAGCAGAGCGATGCCAGCCCCATGTCCATCAACGAGGTCATCTTGTCTGCATCGGGGGCCTGCAAGCTCATCGACTCGCTGCACTCCTACTGCTTCTCTGCCCGTCAGAGCAAGAGCCAGGTGTGCTGCCTGCGGGAGCAGGTGGAGAAGAAGAATGGCGAGCTCAAGAGCCTGCGGCAGAGGGTCAGCCGTTCCGACAGCCAGGTGCGCAAGCTGCGAGAGAAGCTGGACCAGCTCAGGAGAGCGAGCTTCCCCTACCTGAGCGGCCTGCTGCCCCCCAGCCGCGGTCAGTACCGAGCGTGAGTCCCCTCCCTCCCCCTGATGTGGTTTTCCTGCAGCAGGGCTGGGTCACCTACTCCCTGGGTCWGGGATGGGACCTGATAGTAGCCACACTTTGTGGACAGGGGACTCAGATTAGATAGCTGACCTCACTTGTTCCTGGGTGTGTGGAAGTGTGGGCAGTTCACTGAAGGTCAGCCTGCACCCCACTGCACAGTGGGCCTCTGGTGGACCCCAGAAGTCTGCTCCCTGTCCATGCTCCCAGAGCCAAGTTCCAGGCAAGTTAGAATCTCACAGAGATAAAGCAGAGTGAGTAAACTCTCAGAGAAATGCAGGACACCCTTCCATTACTGTTTTCTGAATGTCCTTGAGGCTAAATCATTTTGAACACCCATAATCATTTCTTTAAACATCTATCCAGTGTTGAAACATCTATTCAAGTACGATACAGTCTGTTCTGTAAAAATTAAAACACTACAGAAATATGGGCTAAGAAGTGCTGAGAATTCCCTAGTTCACCTACCTCCCAATTCTGGTCTCTGTTAGTATTAAAAAACTTGGTCTGTACTCTTCCATCTTACATTCTTTGCCATTGCACAATAGGTTTCTCCCTGTGTTTTCATGTATTTATTGGCTGTTTGTTTTCACTTTGTTTTAGTTTTACGTACTTTCAAAGTAGACTTCAAGGTATAATGTTTTATATGTTAAGGATAGTGTCCTTTCCCTGTGGCGTGCATGTGGAAAGCGCTTTCCTGCCCCATGCTGGTGGGGTGAGAGTTTCCAGGGCTCCTGAACTTGTTTCCAGTACATGCTGCAGCTAATCTTTTGGAATTATTAATTTTATTGCTTAAGTTTTCATGATGTGGTCTCTTAAAGCAATCTGATTTTTTAAATCTTTGGRGGTTTTGTGCTGAAGACGGGGTCTGATCTTGGAATGCACGTCTCCACCAGCTGGTTGCATTGTTCTCTGCAGGCTTCCTGTCAGGCACTCAGTCTGTGGGTTTCTGCAGAGGGGTCAGCCTTTTCCTGGGGTTCTGGAGGTGCCCTTTCTTCCTGTGCCTCTGCCAAGTTCTGCTTTAGGTTTAAGGACCTTGTTGTTAGATGCCTATATTTTCCTAACTTAGCAACACAGAAAAACCCTCTGTTATGTTTGAAGTCTTACCTGTCTCCTTATTTTCAGTCTTTTCCTATCATTTTATTTGATAGCTTTTTAAAAATCCAGTCTGAGAATCATCATTTTTATTGAGTAATCCCTTGCAGTTGTGATTACTATTATGTTGGAATTTGGGTCTGCCTTTTATTGTTTAATTTTTTTTAAATTTATTTTTCTATTCTTCTGGTTTGTGAATTTATTTACTTATTTTTGGGAGTTACTGGGGTCTGAACCTAGAGGCGATGATCTGTGTTCCTTGGCCAGTTCCATGCTGGGCTGATTCCTGAAGCCTCCCGGGAGCCTTGCGGTGGGGCAGCTGCCCACCTCGTTCTTCACTGCACTGTGGGCTGCCCCAGGTGTC